CTTCTCGTTGCGTCACACCTCAACCCGCCTCAAAGCCAACGCTGATTGGACATTTTTTCGGTAAACTGCTCCAAATTTTCTTCAACGGAGAGTCTCCAGACTGATTAGTGAGTGAAACCTTGAAAGCTCGGGGGGTTCGGGTTGTTTTCCCAGGGTTGTTGGGTTCAGGTTGCATTCCTTAACTTCTTCGGTTTTGAAAAAATGTGTTTCCATTACCTCTTTGCAATGAATAATACATTTTGATACGGATGGTAAAAAACAAAAAACATTGAGCAGTAAAAACTTTTAATAAAAAATATGACTTTTTATTTTTAATTGCAGTGTTTTAACTATTTCAATTCAGTAAATTTATTTCAATAATTTAAATTTGGGCAATTTGTTTTAATATTATTATTATTGCAGTTTATATATTTTTAAGGCTACCATCAGCGCCTATTTTGTGAGATTAATATCAGATTAGTGAATTTCTATTTAAATAAAACCAAAACTGAAAATAAACATTTGATGATTCAAAAACCATCTTTGTAAATTTCCTTACTAGAACTCCTCCGTTTACATAGTTTTAGCTTCATCTAGTTTGAAATCCACAAAAAATAAAAATATAAAGCAAGTTCTGCTATTATTAATCATCTAATCAAAAAGAAAAAAAGAATAACAGTCAACAGATTTATCTTTGTGGTGCCCTCTGATCATTCCCACGGTCACTGTGGTAAATTAATAGACGAAAAACAAATTTGATCAACAATGTGACATACTGATGTTATGTTAGACTTTAAAGCTCCATCTTTACATGCAATGATGTGCTGCTCTCACTCTCACCTACACACCAATGAGATGATTCTGTGTTTTAGCTAAGAGAGGCCGACGCGGCGGTGACTTACATAAACTTAAGAGGACATCGTCTTTCAAATCTGCTCCATCATTCAGACCTTGAAATCAGCAACGCTGTAAAGACACATTATCTGGTCATCATCATAAGCAGAAAGTGGTCTTATTTTCAAGCGTGCAAGGACTATTTCACCATGCTTTCAGTGTGTCATTCAGAGGTGTCAAATGTATTCATGTTTATTACTCAAGTAGAAATCCTACTGTTTAAAAACACTTTTGTAGAAGTAAAAGTACCATTTTTAAAACTACTTGAAGTATAAAAGTAAATGTAATGCAGGAAAAAATGCTGAGGACAGATGCTTTAATGCACTACACCATCGAATTTTTCTACAATTCTGGATGATAACTTCCTTAGATTTAATTTTCTTAGTTTTATAACTAAGGGTAACGGTGTCAAATTTAACTTTGCATCATCTTGAAAAACAATTTTGGTATGTGGTGAACAACAAGTTGCTGCAGCACTAACCACATAGAAATTGTCTGGATGAAACAAGTTATTTTGATGGTTTTTATTTTTTTAAATAGCAACAGGCCATAACGAAAAATGAGCTTAAATGAAAAAACTAACAAGGCAATTTTTACAATTTAAGGAGTAGAAAATAGAGATAATTGCAAACAATTGTAAAGGAGTAGAAGTAAAAAGATAATTACTCCAAAATTTCTAGCTTAGTAAGGTGACACCTCTGATGTCATTTAAGGACAATTTAATTCTTACACTCTTCCCAACCCCTGGCGTGAAAATCATTACTCTATTGCACTATTAAATATAACAACAAAACACAGATAACAGACTTGTATTGTGGTTTTAAGCAATTTCCTGTGTCTCAAGTCTGAGGTTTTCCGGTCTAACCGTATGCATATAGTTTACACAGGCCAAACATACAATAATTACAATCCTATTCAAAATGCATATCAAGTTACCTTTAAACCTTATCTCTATTTTGGGTTTAGGATTAGTGATTGTTTGGACTCTTCAACTAGTAATGATAGCAGGCCATCCGGGATCAGACCTGGATGGATAGTGATCAATGCAGCGGGCATGTACAGGCAAGTCTCCCACACTCCTTCACTGGCCAAGCCTTACCTCACTGACATCAAAAGGATGTCTAGAGGCTTACTTATTCACTATTAGGCCTGCCTGACAGTCAAATATGCAACATGTAAGCCATCCGGACGTTGGTTTAATCAGTGTTTGTTATTTTTATGTATTTATTTTGACTGGGGCAGGGTGTGTTACTTATTAAGTATTGGGTATTTTGCCCTACTTAATGCTGGTAACAATTAACTAATTTTCCCTAAAATACAGTAGTTACATAGAATTCATTTCTAATAAATCAGGAATTTGCCTTTTCAGTTAGAGGCAGGTTGGCTCATGCTTTTATTCTGTCAGAAAAAAAACATTATCATCAACATAATAAGTCACTCTATTGTTCCAATTGGGAAACTTTGCTATGTGACCATACAACCGATATTGGTCATTTACATTAACTTTTAAGAAAACAAGACAATCTCCATTAAAAAAAACAGCATGAACAAGAGCAGTAAGTTATGAAACTGTGCATACTTTTTTTGGCTTAGCAATAAACATTGTCAAAGTTTATAAGTGTAAATGAAAATAAAAAGAGGATAAACGTACGGTGGCCCTGAAGTGCAAACTGCAACTACAAATCTAAAAGCGCAACTACATTAAGAAAAACAAAACTACATAAAGTAAAGCGCAACTGCATTAAGGAAATCGCAACTACATAAAGCAAAGCGCAACTACATTAAGAAAAACAAAACTACATAAAGCAATGCGCAACTACATTAAGAAAAACAAAACTACATAAAGTAAAGCGCAACTGCATTAAGGAAATCGCAACTACATAAAGCAAAGCGCAACTACATTAAGAAAAACAAAACTACATAAAGCAAAGCGCAACTACATTAAGGAAAAGACAATTACATTAACCTACCGGAAAAGGTAGGTACCAGTGGGAAACATGAGACATTGCTGATTGGACGACGGCGCCGTTTGACCCTTGAACCAGAAGTTGCGTCGTCTGAACAGTCCAGCTTCTTCTAAGTGTGTCTTCAGTGTACGCAAACTAACTGAAATTTCGCGATTAGTCTTGAGCATATCCAGTATCACCTCGTACGTATGTCCTGATTCAAAATATTCCTGGATAACGGCAGCTATGTTTGGGGCGCCGACAATATCCATGTTTTCAAGAGCCGCAGCAGGCAGAATGACTTCGGGTTCAAGGGTCAAACGGCGCCGTCGTCCAATCAGCGATGTCTCATGTTTCCCACTGGTACCTACCTTTTCCGGTAGGTTAATGTAATTGTGTTTTCCTTAATGTACTTGCGCTTTGCTTTATGTAGTTTTGTTTTCCTTAATGTAGTTGCGCTTTGCTTTATGTAGTTTTGTTTTCCTTAATGTAGTTGCGCTTTGCTTTATGTAGTTGCGATTTCCTTAATGTAGTTGTGCTTTTAGATTTGTAGTTGCAGTTTGCACTTCAGGGCCACCGTATAAACGTGACAGAGCTAATTGTTTAAAGCAACACCATTTAAATCTTTGTTTCGGTTGTTTCTATAACATTTATATCAAAGCTGAAACTTAAGGAAAACTAAAATGTGCATATCATACCTGAAATTATTAAATGTTACTAATAAAAGTAGAATTGATGATTTCCTTCTTATCCTATGCACTACTACAATGCAGGGCATTACTAATTTACACCAATATAAAACCTAAGCCTATTGTAAGACTGAAGAGCTATATTTGTTGTGAAATTGAAGTTAACACTCTTTGACATTGTAATAGGTGACGTAAAAAAGGATTTAGGTTGCCCGTTTTTATTTAAGGTAAAATAAAAGTGAATTCAACTAAAGGCATGCCAGGATTTAGTAAAACTGTGGATATAATTTGCTTTATATTTCACATTAGTATGCAATTTTATGAATTCCTGCAAAAGGTGAGACTAAATTTATAAACTCTAGGGCTAAAACAATTACTCAGATTTAATGATAATTGAAATAGTCATTAACTAATCTTGTAATCATTAAATTTAATTTAAATACTACAACAACAGATTCATCGATTGACATCTATTCTCCAATCTGATTCCATTATTTTAATTTGTGTATCGGGTGATGTCAATACTTCTCCAAGACGAGAGCTCTGTTTGTTTTAATATTATTATTCTTATTATTCCAGTTTATGTATATTTTAAGGCTACCATCAGCTCCTTTCCACAAGTAGTTATGATGCATATGAATGTACATACACTTATCATGTGGGATTAATATCAGATTAGTGCATTTCTATTCAAACAAACCAAATCTGTCGGTAAAAAATAAATAAATATTTGAATCAAAAAACTTCTTTGTGTGTAAATATCCTCGCCAGAACTTTTTATTTACATAGTTTTATCTTCATCTAGTTTGAAATCCAAGGGAAACTAAAATGTGCATATCATACCTGAAATTTAGCATTAGTCTAGATTATTATTAGTATGATTATTACTGCAATTAACAGGGGTAAATAGATCCAAACATAGAAGCTTTAAAGGCCAAATGGATGTCTAAAGGCCTACTTATCCACAATAAACTAGCCTGACAGTTAAACAGGCACCATGTAACCCATCCAGACATCAGTTTAACCGGATTAGCTGGTCTTAAATCTGTCCGAGGTAAAGCAGAGTTTGGATATTACCATGTAACATCTGCAACGCTGCTGTCAGAGGACAACAGCTCAACGAAACGCTGCAATTAACATCATTTTCGAAACTTGTGTTTTTAAAAACAGAAAACCTCCAAAAGGACGGAGTGATAATAACAGCACTGGTTCCAAACAGCCCAAATGAAATGGAAAGAGCGTGTTTATTTCCACTTAAAAGCGACACTTTACACCGTGAGGAGTTGAATTAGGTATTAAGAGGCGAGGAGCGACTGATCAATAATAAATGGTGGTGATCAGGCCATTTAAAGGGGTCTATCCGAGCAGCCTGGCCCAGGCGGCGTCGCCACAGCTAGCTCAATTCACTAAAAGTTAGCTGACTGCTATGCTAGCTCTTAAACGAGAAGTACCGTACATTAGAGGAAATAAAACTCACCTGTCCGGGAAATCAAGTCCTTTTTTATAATAATATACATCACTCCAAGAATAAAAGTAAAACAAAAAACGAAGAAGTTGAGTAAGTTCGTCAAAAACACGAAGAGAAGCAAACTCGAAGCGTTGACTCAAGAGGGCTAGCTAACTAGCAGGGGCAGCAGGCAGAGGAAAACTTCCAACACAATAGTCTGATTTTTTTCACTTTTACACAATAAAAACGAGATTAAAAACGAGCTGCCCGAGTTTGTCTTCGAGTCGATTTGTAGGTGTGTTCGGCCTGTGGAAATAATCTTAGAAAAAGAGGCTATTTCTTTGTGCTTCCCCCTTTTTAGTCATTGAACGCAGCTACATTATGGACATGTCCCTGCATCACTTCCTGCCTCCCTGAAAGCAGCCAACAGCTGATCTCCATCCCAGCAAGGCCGCACATCCACAAACTGGGACCCATCACACACTGGGACCCCATTAGCTCCACTGCAACACTGAAAAAAAAAAATTATAAAATCGTTTCAGGTTAGTTTTCTTTCTGTTTATCATGAACACGTTTGAATATAAAATTAAACTCCGATAACATATATAATAGATATTTTACTCTCATCATTGCGGCCAGATATTCTTGATAGTGTATTTTTCAAGCGCCTGATTTATTTAAAAAACAAAATTTATGTTATTGTTGATAAACTATGTGGTCAAAACAGGTCAATTCAAATGTAACACCATAAAGATTGCAAACTGGAAAAAAGATATTTGATTATCTTAAGTTTTTCATAACTTTATCATTATTGCTTTATCTGGATTTATAGTTAAACATATGCATATATATATACACATTAGGGGCGGAATGGTTCACAAAATCCACGGTTTGGTTCGGTTCACGGCTACGTAGTCACGGTTTTCGGTCTTCGCCTATGAGAAAAAGGAGCAGCGCATGAACCGAACGCAACACACGCAAATCGAACCGAGACAGTCGAACCGAACAGTTCGGACGGTTCTCATATATATATAGTAGAGTTATATGTGTATATATTTATATTATCTTGTGTGGTATATATAAATGTTTCTATCTGGAGCGTGTAACAAAGGTAAATTCCCTCAGGGATTATTAAAGTGTGTCTGATTCTGATAAAATGCTGTAGAATAAAGTTTCATTCCAAAAAAATGAGAAAAAAAAACAATCCACTGGACTTTATTTTCCAAGTTTGAAGAGGTTTTGCTTCCCATCCATCCATTTAATTCAAAATATCAGAATTGACATTTTGACTGCGAATCTTCACCAACAATAAAATGACATCATCAGATGTAGGTACCCAAATATTTTTACTATTTTTCTAACTCCAGTAAAAGTAGAAAGTAGTACCGGTAATACACGTAATTACTTAAGCGAGAGTTCAAAAGTACTTGGTCAAATAGCTACTTGAGGCCTGAGTAATTGCTGGCCCTTAAAATCTAATTTAATGATTAAAAGATTAAAACAATGTAATCAGACAGAGAGTTATGATTAGCTCCTGTTATTTCAAAGAAAAAATGGAATACAAAAATAACAGAAATGTTTAACATATTTACTGAATAAATTTATATGAAATAAATACATTTGGGTAAAATGACAGGTAACTCTATATAAGCTACTGGAACCAGAATTTACCTGAAGGAGTAATCCCAATGGGATAAATAAAGCTGAGTCTAAGTCTAAAGCAAATCCTGCTGTCCTAATAACATTTTTGTACATAGATTTATAAAAAATATCTTTACAGTCGATAATGTATATATGTCAGGAAACGATAAAGAAATATCTGCTGTCTAGTGTATTTTCACCAGATGCTGGTGAAGATTCTCAGTCCAGGTCATAGTCATCCCAGAAAAGTTAAAAAACAAATATCTGGACTTTGTTTCCAAGTTTGAAGACATTTCACTTCCCATCTTTTTCAATTCAAAATGTTAAACTCAACACAATTTCTGACATTTTCAATTGAAAAAGCTTCCTGGATGGGAAGCAAAATGTCTGCAAACTTGGAAACAAAGTCCAGTTTTTTTTTTTTTTTTTTTTTTTTTTTTGCTTTTTTGGAATTTATACCAGATCACGATTAGATCTAGTTACTTATAGTGGATGAGTAAAAAACAAACTGATTGATGTACAGAAATCGGCTTACTTAGTTACATTAACTTGATCTTTAAAAAAAATTAAATGAAAAAAAAAATAAGGAGTAGCTATACATTACTAAGGTAAAAGTAAAACTTACCATAATGTACAGCTACTCCTTAAATTTCTGTTGTTGTTTTCTTTAAAAAGTTCAAGTTAATGTAACTTAGTAAGACAATTTCTGTACACCAGTCAGGTTGTTTTTTTGTTTTTCTCTACAAAATATATCACTATATTCAGATCCAGGCAAATAATTTTTAGAAAATTAGAACTAGATATTACATAATCTGTAGAAATGAGACAAATATAAATTAAAAAAGAAGTCCTATAGATGTACCACACTGCATATATTTCCCGTACATACATATAGAGCTTGGTATCCTGAGGTTGTGAGTTCAAAACCCACTCCCACAGTCTGCCACTCTGGGTCTCCTAGCAAGACCCTTAACCCCCATTTGCTCCCTGGGCACCGCACAATGGCAACCCACTGCTCCCAAGGGGATGGATTAAATGCAGAGATAAATTTCTCCAATGTGAGATCAATAAAGATCAATTATTATTGTCTGTTTCTTGAGTAGAACGTGAATAAAGATCTCACAAGTGTGGCAAAAAAGAAAATATTGACAAATAGAGGATTAAAGAAAAACACTGGGTCAAGTCTATAAAGGTCTATGTGAAACAATATTCCCATTTTGTCTTCTTGTCTCACCTTTTATCAAAATAATTCTCCATTTGACAAATAAAAAATAAAAAACAGAACAAATACCAAGCATTTAAATTAAACACCATCTGTCACCCCTTTTGTTAAATTATCACACAAGTGGGATTACTAGTTTACACGCCTGTCCTAATATACATGAATTAATCAGCAAATAAAAAAATTATCACTAGCTTTCATCAGTTTGTAAAAGTCCAACCCTTTGTTAGACTTGTGTAGTAAAGCAAACAGCAGTTCTAACACGCCTTAGTTAAAGTCAGAAGTCATAATTCTTTAATAAGAAAGAGAAACCGGGTAATAATGGCCTCTTGGGGAGAGTTTGAAGGCAAGAACCACTGCTGACCCAGAAAACATAAAGGTCTGTCTGACATTCACATCAAAAAAGATAAAATATTAAAAATGTTTTGGACTTTTGAAAAATTTGACATTAAAATAAACAAATGTGGATGTTTTTGAAGGGTTTGATCCCCATTACACCTGGTGTAACTTTAATACAACATTTCAGAAACGGAGCATCACATCCACAGTCAAACACAGTGGTGGTGGTGTGATGGTCTGGAGCTACTTTAGTGGGTCAAGACCTGGATGACTTACTGTTATTGATAAAACCATGAAAGTTACTCCTTAAGGAGAATATCATATTAATTGTTTTTTTTTTTTACCAAAGGCCCAACCATATTTTGTGAAAGATATTGAACCCAGTAGATCAGTAGCTATAAGACTGTATAATGTCCTAGTATAAGTTTTATACTTCATAGCACTGTAATCTTATTTTTACGTTTTTGCACCATGATGTTTTATATTTCAATTATATGATTTACTCAAATCTAAAAAAAAGGAAATCATTATTTGTATAATATTAATGTAAGTGATTGAATTAAAGAGCAAGTAAAAATAACAGCAATATGTTATTATCCAGTTGAAACATTTACCTCAAATAACAGAGCTTTCTTTGAAAGTGTAACACAAAATTTTTCAATGGAACATAGACATAACACATTTGCCGTGTCATATAAATCTGTACTTTAATGATAATTAAACATTTAAAGTTTAAATTTTACAGTATTTTTAAAAAATTATTCCTACACATAAATCACTTAGTTATATTATGCTTTATTTTTGATTATTATGATTATTTAAATAAAACTTCATTTGTATGAACAAAGATTCTGCCAATTTGCAAACTGATGTAAAAAAAATGATATCTAAAAACTGCCTTACCATCAATTATTTAAACATGTTATTAATCAGTATATAATCTACTTAACTGCATCACTATGAATTTGCCTTCTGTTGAGTTCTGTTGTATTGTTAAAATAGTCTTTTTAAAATAATTAACCTTTGAGCAGATACTTAATAAAGGACTACTTTTATTAAGCTTACATTTCTGTATTATGGATTAGTATGAATTTTTTAGCGATTCCTATAGCTCTAATCCATCTCATCCAAAACACCTTAAGATATTCAAATGTTACTCCATATTTACCCAAATTGAAAATTGGAGAATATTTTGTGACTGATAAAAAATATAATAATGCTATGCTTGTGACTGCCTGCAAATCAAAATAATTTAATGATTACTATAATAGTTTTTTGACAACAACTAATTTTCCCTTATTTGAGAAGGCTTTCTCTAGGTTTGTTAAATGGCCGGTTTTATCAAAGGTTAAAGAGACTCACTTTAAAATCTCTCACAATATTTACCCAGTGGCAGAATTTTTGCACAAAAGATTTAAATTTGATTTAACATGTGGTGCATTTTGTGAATCCCTTAATCATTTCTTTTTTTTTCCTCCTCTCCCCTTTCTTTTAAACTATGGAGGGACATCAAAAATTGGTTGTCCCTTAAAATTGAGGACATCCAAGAAATAACAATCACCCACGTGTTTTATTATGTTGATGATGACCTATATTAGTAAAAAAAATTCAGATATAGTTATTGTTTTCTTGCTTAGCAAATATCATATACATTGCTGTAAATGAAGAGGTTCTACTCCTTGTTTTGATTTTTTTCTTAACCAATTTAAATTGTTTTACACCTCATTGAAACATTTAAAATCTGCCAGTATTTCTATTTTTCTTTTGTTTTAAATCTTGTTCTATATTTATTCATTGGTCTTACTGCTCATGTATTGGTTCTTGATTTTAGTCCCATGTTCTGTCTATTTTTTTTCTCTATCCATCTTATGTTGTGATGTTTAGTTTGTACACTATTGTTTATTTATATGAATAAAGTAAAAAAAAAAAAAAAAGAAAAAATGAATTTTCGAGCGGTGTCGCTTTAAGTATACGTCATCAGTCAGCGACAAATATGGTTGTTTTATGTCACCTATTAAAAAACAGCAGGTAAGCTAAACGTTTCGTTTCGTTTCACGTTTTTAACTTGAATAAAGATAGCCTCATTCGGAAATAAACATGTTTAAACGAGTCTCTATGACTCTGCTTGTATCTCAGCTCGGCTCGTTTTCTTTCAGGTGCTGCTAGCTTCCCAGCATCGCCCTCTGTGAGAGT